GATTGGAAGGGACCTCAAAAGATCATCCAGTCCAATCCCCCTGCCGGAGCAGGAACACCTAGAGAATGTTACACAGGAATGCGTCCAGGCAAGTTTTGAATGTCTCCAGGGAAGGAGACTCCACAACCTCCCTGGGCAGCCTGTTCCAGTGTTCTGTCAACCTCACTGAGAAGAAGTTTCTTCTCAAGTTTAAGTGGAACCTCTTGTGTTCCAGTTTGTACCCATTACCCCTTGTCCTATCATTGTTTGCCACTGGGTAGAGACTGGCTCCGTCCTCGTGACACTCCCCCTTTATATATTTATATACACTAATAAGGTCACCCCTCAGTCTCCTCTTCTCCAAACTATAGAGACCCAGCTCCCTCAGTCTTCCCTCATAAGGGATGATGCTCCACTCCCTTAATCATCTTAGTTGCCCTGTGCTGGACTCTCTCCGGCAGGTCCCTGTCCTTCTTGAACTGAGGGGCCCAGAACTGGACACAATATTCCAGATGCGATCTCACCAGGGCAGAGTAGAGGGGAAGGAGGACCTCTCTCGACCTACTAACCACCCCCCTTCTAATACACCCCAGGATGCCATTGGCTTCTTGGCCACAAGGGCACAGTGGTGGCTCATGGTCATCCTGTTGTCCACTAGGACCCCCAGGTCCCTCTCCCCTACACTGCTCTCTAACAGGTTGTTTCCCAACTTATACTGGAACCTGGGGTTGTTCCTGCCCAGATGCAGGACTCTACACTTTCCCTTGTTATATTTCATCAAGTTATTCCCTGCCCAACTCTCCAGCCTGTCCAGGTCTCGCTGGATGGCAGCACAGCCTTCTGGCGTGTCAGCTACTCCTCCCAGCTTAGTGTCATCAGCAAACTTGCTGATAGTACACTCAATTCCCTCATCTAAATCGTTGATGAATATATTAAATAATACTGGTCCCAGTACTGACCCTCGAGGCACTCCACTAGTTACAGGCCTCCAACTAGACTCAGCCCCATAGACTACAACACTCTGGCTTCTCTCCTTCAGCCAGTTCACAGTCCACCTCACTATCTGATCATCCAGACCACACTTCCTCAATTTAGCTGTGAGGATGCTGTGGGAGACTGTGTCAAATGCTTTGCTGAAGTCAAGGTAGACCACATCCACCGCTCTGCCATCATCCATCCACTGTGTTATTTCCTCATAAAAGGCTAAGAGATTGGTCAAACATGATTTCCCCCTGGTGAAGCCATGTTGACTGCCCCTCATAACCCTCTTATCCTTGATATGCCTTAAGATGGCACCAAGGATAAGGTGTTCCATCACTTTCCCAGGGATGGAGGTGAGGCTGACCAGTCTATAGTTACCCGGGTCCTCCTTCTTGCCCTTTTTGAAGACTGGAGTGACATTTGCTTTCCTCCAGTCCTCAGGCACCTCTCCCGTTTCCCAAGACTTGGTAAAGATGATGGAGAGCGGTCTAGCAATGACTTCCGCCAGTTCCCTCAGCACCCGCTGGTGCATCCCATCTGGACCCATGGATTTATGGATGTCCAGATTGCTCAACTGGTCTCTAACCCATTCCTCATCCACTAAGGCAAACCGCTCCGTTGACCTGACTTCATCTAAGGTCTCAGGGGTACAGGGCTCTTCAGGACTGCCTGCAGCAGAGTAGACAGAGACAAAGAAGGCATTCAGTAACTCTGCCATCTCTGTATCTTCTGTCACCAGGGCACCCATCCCGCTCATCAGTGGGCCTACATTGCCTCTGGTGTTAGTTTTATCTGCCATGTATTTGAAAAAGCTCTTTTTGCTGTCCTTGACCCTTCTCGCCAGGTTTAATTCTAAGGAGGCCTTAGTCATCCTAGCTGCCTTCCTACATCCTCTAGCAGCAGCCTTATATTCTTCCCAAGTGGCCAGCCCCTCCTTCCATGACCCGTAAACTCTCCTCTTCCACTTGAGCATACCCAGCAATTCCCTATTTAGCCACGCAGGTCTCCTGGCCCTCTTCCTTGACTTCCTATGTGTCGGGATGCTCTGATCCTGAGCTCTGAAAAAGCAATCCTTGAATGCCAACCAACTATCTTGGGCCCCTTTACCTTCAAACAGCCTTGCCCATGGGATTTCCCCTAGCAATTGCTTGAAAAGGCCAAAGTTTGCCCTGCTAAAGTCCAGGGTTGCAATTCTACTTGCTATTCTACTGGTCCTACCACACAAGATCCTGAATTCCACCATCTCGTGGTCGCTGCAACCAAGGCAGCCCTCAACCCTTACTGCTTCGACCAGACCCTCCTTGTTAGTGAGGATGAGATCCAGCAGCACTCCTCTCCTGGTTGGCTCATCCACCATTTGCAGGAGGAAGTTATCACCCATACACTGGAGGAACCTCCTGGACTGCGGCTGGGTTGCCGAGTGGTCCTTCCAGCAAACATCAGGGAAGTTAAAATCCCCCACGACGACCACAGCCTATGACTGTGAGGCCCCTCTCAGCTGCCTGTAGAAGGCCTCGTCAACTTCCTCACCCTGATCTGTTGGCCTGTAACAAGACACCCACAACAGTATCCCCCCTGCCAGCCTGCCCCTTAATTCTCACCCACAGACTCTCAACTCACTTGTCATCTGTCCCTGGACAGAACTCAGTGCATTGTAGTTGCTCTCGCACATAAAGAGCAACCCCACCACCCTTCCTGGCTGGCCTGTCTTTCCTGAAAAGGACATAGCCCTCCATGACTATATTCCAGTCATGTGAGCTGTCCCACCACATCTCTGTAATTGCCACCAGATCATAATCTCCCCTAGAAGTCAGCTGAATTTTTTCCATATATTCCACAGGTCAGTTGAGGTCCAGGATCAACATTTTACCTCTTATTCCTCTTCCCGATTCCTGTATCCTGAACTCTTGTTCAGATGGCACATCTGTAGCACATGCATTGGGTCTTCATCTGTCTTCACTACACAGGTCACTCTTTGTGGCTCTCATTTGCTTTGCCCCTTGCTTACAGGATCAACCGATACTGGCACAGACTGGTCCTTTAGTTCAGCTGCAGTGTCTGTCATCAGGGTTGGTGTAGCTGCTGTGTTGTCGGTTGCTTTGCCGCCACATCCAGAAGTATCTTTTTCCCTTTTAAGGTGCTAGATAGTGTTGAGCAGGCTTCTGTAGGTATAGGTCAAGCCCCAGTATGTTGCAGCAAGTTGTGCTGTTGTCCTGGCAATACCAGACAGGGACACCTCTTTCACATGTTATAGTAGTTTTTCCAGACTTCACACTTGTTCAGGGGTAAAGTTCCAAAGCACTGGAGGGGCCCACTGGCCTAGATACTTGCCCATATGATCCCACACACCCTGCCACTCATGACTGTTCAGCCTTGGGGAAAATCTCCAGGTTCTCTTAGATTGTCATTTCACCTTAGACAAGACCTGAGCCTGACCCTGCTTAACTTTCAAGATCAGACAAAAAATAAGGGTGTTCTCAAGGTAGTATGGCCATGGATAAAACACATGCTGTATTTGTGGCAACATGCTGTTTCCCAGCAAATGCAGCAGACAGGTTTCAAGGGTATCCAAAGGCCATAAAAAACCCTTTAGAATAATCAAATGCTGCTGTAAATAGCCCAGTGTGGGAAAGGAGAACGTGAGGAAATGTCTCCTTCATAGGTTGACCCCGGAGGAGGGGAGAGCCCTTGCCTCCCCAAGTATAGAGGGGATGACCACACTGAGAACACACATCAGTTTCATGATCAACCCTTCAAGCCCCACATTAGGCACCAGAAAGAACTGTCATGGTTTAAGCCCAGCCAGTAACTCAGAACCATGCAGCCGCTGGCTCACTCACTTCCCCCCTGCTCCAAGAGGGATGGGGAGGAGAACCAAAAAAATTTAAATCCCACAAGTTGACTTAAGAACAGTCCAGTATAATACAAAACTGCTACTACTACTACTACTACCACCACCACCAATAATAATAATAAGGGAAATAACAAGGGGAGAAAACATAAAACTATATAAGGAAAAAAAAAAAACAAAAAAAAAAACAACCCACAAGCGCTACACAATACAATTGCTCACCACCCACCAACCGAAACCCAGTCCTACCCCAGCAGCAATCCTGCCACTCCAGGTGACTCCCCAGAGTTTATATACTGGGCATGATGTGCTGTGGTATGGAATATTTGGAATATTCCTTTGGTTAATTTGGGTCAGGTGTCCTGTGTTCGCTTCCTCCCGGCTTCTTGTGCCCCTCCTCACTGGCAGAGCATGAGACTGAAAAGTCCCTGATCAGAGTAAACAAACTAGCAGCAACTAAAACTATCGGTGTCTTATCAGCATTGTTCTCAGACTAAAGTCAAAAACAGAGTCTGCACCAGCTATTAAGGAGACAAATAACTGTTGCAGCTGAACCCAGGACAGCCGATTCAGCCTCAGCAAGGACAGAGCCCTCTCCTCACCCCAATTTTCCATCCCAGGGAGAACACCAATCCACGACAGCCTTGCAAGCTCTGACAGAAACAAAGCCATGTTTCCACCGGTACTCCAAGCATCACAGAGATTTTGTTGAACAAAACACTAGAAGTGCTTCACCAGCCACACTCGTTGTCTAGAAGAGTTGTCACAGAATGGCTGCGAACAATGGTAAATGCCAGGGGTGCTGGAGGTTATCGGTGAAGCGTCAGCAGCCCAAGAGGGAGACGCACACGAGAGTCACTGCAAGCCCCGAGAGCACAAACAGCTTCTGTAACACCTCAGACAAGCCTCCCGCCCGCACGTGGAAGGGGAAACGCCAGACGTCCTGGCAAACTGTTTGCAGACTAGACAGAAAAAATATCACGCACCAGGAAAATGAACTATGGCGGAAGCCCTTCGGACACCAGCTAGACAGAACTGTGGCTATACGGACCTTCAGCGGGTACCTGGCCCGGAGCAGACCGGGCGCCATACGCTTGCCTTCTCCACAGCCAAACCGGCCCCGACCCCTCACACTGCCGCCCCTCAGCCGCTCGCCCCCTCCCGCGCCCCTCGCCAGCAGCTCACTCACCGAAGTATTCCTTCTTCATGTGCATCTCCAGCTCCTTCTCCAGTTCCAGCGTCAGCGCCTCCAGCCGCCTCTCCGCCTGGCTGGTGCCGCTCTCACGGCACGGCGTCACCTGGTAGGGGAGCTTGAATTTGGGCGCCGAAGCGGAACCTTTGGTCGGGCAGTAGGCGTAGGGGGACACGGCCTCGAGGCCGGCGGCTGGGTGCTGCTGGTCATGCCGCCGCGGGGACTGGTCATAGATCTTGTGGTAGACGTCCCCCAGCTCCGGAGCGGCGCCGTCCTCCTGCAGGCCTGGCCCCAGCAAGGCGGAATGGGGCGAAGGCAGCTGCAGCTCAGGGTAGGCACTCATGGAGCCGCGGGAGCTCCACGAGCTTTGGCTAGAAATGCTGGAGCGGGGGCTTACCACGGCGGCACCCGCCGCGCCGCGCCCCTCAGGGCCGCAAAGGCTGGAGCGGGGACTGGCCAGGGCAAGCCCGGAGCCGCCCACACCCTCCGGCTCAGCGCTGCTGCCCGGCGGGCCGCGCTTGCAGTCCGAGTAGCTAGAGCGAGGACTGGTGGTGCAAGAGCACTGGCTAGCGGTGCTGGAGCGGCGCTGGTCGTAGCCTATGCTGATGCCGCTGGTGCGGTTGCTGCTGGGTTTGCTACAGCCATCGTAACTTAAAAAGCTGGCGCGGGGGCTGGAATGTTTGCTTGTGTCGCTGTCTGTGCTAGTGTAGTTGGAGTGGGGACTGAGGGTGGCGCCGTCGTACTGCACCAGGCTGGCCCGGGGACTGCTATACTTCTGACTGGGTGCCATCAAGCTGGAGCACGGACTGGAGAACTTCTCGTAGGACAGCACCGCCGCGCCCCCCGGGCTGGAGAACTTGCTATGCTCAGCGGCAGGGCCCGGCAAATAAGTGACCAAGCTGACTCGCGGGCTGACCGCACCATACTTGCCGGCAGGGCCACCGCCGGGCGCTCGCCCGCTGCCCTTGGCTACATAGCCGCTCTCATAGGCGCTGCCCACGGCGTAACGGTAGCCCTCAGCCGAGTAGCGCTTACCATTGTCGGCTAAACCAGTGTAGCAGGGCAGCACCACCTCAGAGCGAGTGCACAGCCCCTCCGCCCAGCACGGCAGCCCCGCGCACGGAGGCGGCTCAGCGGCGCGGAGTGGGGCGGCCAGCGCCGCGGGTGGATAGGTTTTGGCAGGGGACAGCGTAGCAGTGCCGCTCGTCTTCCGACCCCATTGCTCCGTCGTCACGTGGGCGGCAGTAACCTGTTTGGTCTCCTCCGGGTCGGGGTGCAGTGCCAGGTCGCGGCGGCAGCCGCTGCTGTACGAAACGTCCAGGCAAGGCTCGTACAAATATAAATCCTCCATGAACTTAGTGGCCTTCAGTACCACGTCGTTCTCCTCACGCTTCTCCATACTGCGCCGGAGCCCGGCGGCGTGAGACGGGGCAACGAACTCTCTGCGAAAGCACAGCCCGGAATAGAAAATAAAAAAAAAAAGGCATACAAAGAAACAAAAAAAAAAGTAAACAAAAAAATTAAAACAAAACAAATGGAAGGGAAAAAAAGAAACCCCACACCAAAACACTTCCTATGGTCCTGACGGGATGCAGCTTCTTAACCAGGAAACTACTCAGCGATGACTAGATAACTCAATCCTACTTTCTAGGCTTAAATAAGTCAATGGCGCGCTGCGCGGAGGAATTTGCGGTCGGCAGCTCCCTGCCCCCACCGTCCCCGGCCAACCGCCCCAAGAAGCCGCGGCACATCCCGCATTTCTGGGCGTCGGGTGGTAGGCGGCGGACCGGTCCAGAGGGGCTTTACGGCCCAGCGAGCAGAGCACGGAAAGTTAGGGACTCCTTTGTATAGGGCAGGAATGCGAGGAAGGAGACTGAGCGCTGCGTCCTGGTGGAATGTAGTTAATACCGGAACCAAACAATGATTTTCACCGAGTCAGTCAGGAAGAAGGCGGTCATGGCGCTTCTCGGCGGCTTCCCTTCTTTTCATCCCACTTTGGCCGGTGCTTATCGAGAGCCCTGCCCGGGGTTGACTGTCTGATGGGACTGTCACCGGGAAACTGGAGACTCGTCAAAGAACCCCAAGGGCAGCCATGTACGGATGGGCTCGTCAGGGAAGGAGGCACTGAGGTTCCCGCCTTCCGGGAGGCGGTTGTAGCGCTACTGCTGCTGCTTCTTCTCCCCTCCCCCTCCGGGACTGAGGGCTGGTGATCAGCCCAGTGCTACCAATAACTTACATGTGTGTGTAACCCTAGAGGCGGGCAGGTGACCTGCTGCCAGCAGCGCAGCTGATCACTGTTAGCAGTTAGGGAGTTTTTTGAGTTGTGTGGTTTTTTTTGGTTTTAGGCCATGCTAAGACATATGATAAACATATTGGGGCCTAAAGTAATCTACAAATTGGCACGAGTTTAAGTAAACATGCTACTGTGTAACTCTGGAAGAGCTTCATCTGTTGATCCAGTAACAAGACCCAGCACCGCTTGCCACTTAACATCTGTACATGCACAAAAAAAAAAACTGTCAGAAAACAATGTCCCCAAAATGGCTACTGAACTGAGACCTCCCATACTAAACCACAACCTTAAAGTTAATATTTTGCAACTAAGCTGAAATCCCTGACTCATTTGTGTTGATGGCAGAAATGCTCACAAAGCCCTAACAATGGGTACCTGAGCCACGTCTTTACTGAGACAAGGAGGCACAAAAGCACAAAATGTAATCAGTTCTAAGTAATGTTAAGTTTAATGGCTTTGTAATGGAAAATAACTGAGGTGCTTGAAGGTAGTTGACATAGTTTTAGGTCCTTAGGACCTTAGTACAAAAAGTGTAAGAAAAGCAGAATAGAAAAACAGGACCTGGGGATGGGGAGTATCTGGCACAAGCAGATGTCCAGGGTGGGCACAGTTAAACTAACTGATAAGTAGAAGGATAGGATAATTGCTATGTTTGTGGTGTTAATGAACCCATTAAGCTGGTGTAAACATCTACTGGTGAGTATCATAGAATCATAGAATAGTTAGGGTTGGAAAGGACCTTAAGATCATCAAGTTCCAACCCTCCTGCCATGGGCAGGGACACCTCACACTAAGCCATATCACCCAAGGCTCTGTCCAACCTGGTCTTGAACACCACCAGGGATGGAGCATTCACAACCTCCCTGGGCAACCTATTCCAGTGCCTCACCACCCTAACAGGAAAGAATTTCTTCCTTATATCCAATCTAAACTTCCCCTGTTTAAGTTTTAACCCATTACCCCTTGTCCTATCACTACAGTCCCTAATGAAGAGTCCCTCTCCAGCATCCCTATAGGCCCCCTTCAGATACTGGAAGGCTGCTATGAGGTCTCCATGCAGCCTTCTCCAGGCTGAACAGCCCCAACTTTCTCAGCCTATCTTCATACGGGAGGTGCTCCAGTCCCCTGATCATCCTCGTAGCCCTTCTCTGGACTTGTTCCAACAGTTCCATGTCCTTTTTATGTTGAGGACACCAGAACTGCACACAATATTCCAGGTGAGGTCTCACAAGAGCAGAGTAAAGGGGCAGGATCACCTCCTTCGACCTGCTGGTCACACTCCTTTTGATGCAGCCCAGGATACGGTTGGCTTTCTGGGCTGCAAGCACACACTGCTGGCTCATGTTCATTTTCTCATCAACCAACACCCCCAAGTCCTTCTCCGCAGGGCTGCTCTGAATCTCTCCTGTGCCCAACCTGTAGCTGTGCCTGGGATTGCTCCAACCCAGGTGTAGGACCTTGCACTTGTCATGATTAAACTTCATGAGGTTGGCATCAGCCCACCTCACAAGTGTGTCGAGGTCCCTCTGGATGGCATTCCTTCCCTCCAGGGTATCAACCGAACCACACAGATTGGTGTCATCGGCAAACTTGCTGAGGGTGCACTCAATCCCACTGTCCATGTCACCGACAAACATGTTGAACAAGACCGGTCCCAACACCAATCCCTGAGGGACACCACTCGTTACTGGTCTCCAGCTGGACATTGAGCCATTGACCACAACTCTTTGTGTGCGGCCATCTAGCCAGCTCTTTATCCACCGAGTGGTCCATCCATCATATTGAAATCTCTCCAATTTAGAGACAAGGATGTCTTGTGGGACAGTGTCGAACGCTTTGCACAAGTCCAGGTAGATGATTTCAACTGCTCTACCCCTGTCCATCAGTTCTGTAGCCCCATCATAGAAGGCCACCAAATTGGTCAGGCAGGATTTCCCCTTAGTGAAGCCATGCTGGCTGTCACCAAGCACCTTGTTGATTTTCATGTGCCTTAACATGCCTTCCAGGAGAATTTGCTCCAGGATTTTGCCAGGCACAGAGGTGAGACTGACTGGTCTGTAATTCCCCGGGTCATCCATTTTCCCCTTCTTGAAGATGGGGGCTATATTTCCCTTTTTCCAGTCATCGGGAACTTCACCTGACTGCCATGATTTCTCAAATATGATGGCCAGCAGCTTTGCAACTTCATTCGCCAGCTCCTTCAGGACACGCGGATGGATTTCATCAGGACCCATGGACTTGTGCACATTCAGATTTTTAAGATGGTCTCGAACCAGTTCCTCTCCTACAGTGGGCCCAAGGTCTTCATCCTCACAGTCCCCTCGTCTGCCTTCCAAGACTTGGGTGGTGCGGTCAGAGCCTTTGGCAGTGAAGACCAAGGCAAAGAAGTCATTCAGAACCTCAGCCTTCTCCAAATCCTGTGTAGCTAGTTCTCCCAATATCTTCCTGAGGGGGCCTATGTTCTCCCTAGTCTGTTTTTTATTTGCTATGTACCCGTAGAATCCCTTCCTGTTATCCTTAATATCCCTAGCCAAGTTTAATTCTAACTGGGCCTTAGCTTTCCTAACCTGGTCCATAGCTTCCCCGACAACATCCCTGTACTCTTCCCAGGCCGCCTGTCCTTGCTTCCACTTTTATAAGCCTCTTTTTTCATTTGAATTTTCCTCAGCAGCTCCTTATCTATCCAAGGAGGTCTCCTGGCCCTCCTGCTGCACTTCCTTCTAGTTGGGATGCAACACTCCTGAGCTTGTAGCAGGTAATCCTTGAATATCAACCAAGAGTCTTGGGCCCCCCTGGCCTCTAGGGCTATATCCCATGGAACCTTCCTAAGCAGGTTCCTGAAGAGGCCAAAGTCTGCTCTTTTGAAGGCCAGGGCAGTGAGATTGCAGCACGCTCTTCTCTGTCCTGAGGATCTCAAATTCGACCATCTCGTGATCACTGCATCCGAGGCTGCCCTAGAGCATCACATTTCCAACGAGCCCTTCCCTGTTGGTGAGCACGAGGTCAAGTATGGCACCTCTCCTTGTTGGGTCCTCTATTACTTGCAGAAGGAAGTTGTCTTCCACACAATCAAGGAACCTCCTGGATTGCTTGTGCCGGGCCGTACTGTCATTCCAACAGATGTCAGGGTGGTTGAAGTCCCCCATGAGAACAAGGGCCTGTGAGCATGAGGCTTTTCCTATCTGTCTATAGAGTGTCCGGGACTAGCAGATGTCCAGGGTGGGAGCAGTTAAACTAACCAGTAAGTAGAAGGACAGGATGATTGCTATGTCTGTAATGTTAATTAAGCTGGTGCTTCAAAGACTGCCAGAAGTTACGAAGATTGTTGAGAGAAGTAAACAACCCTCAAATACCACCATCACATTTTTGTATGCCTGCGGGAAACTTTCTGGAAAATGATGTAATTCATGTGTAGCCTCATGAATATGTATGTATGCCCAGTGACTATATAAGGATGGCCTGAGTAGCAATAAGGTGATACACGTTAGGAGGAGCTATCCCTCGTGTCTCCCAGTGCCACAATAAAGAATACCTGCTTGTCAACTTGAAAACTTTGTTGGCGAGTTTGTTCCTGGAGTTTTCTCCGAATCAGTACTGAACACCCTGTGAGGAAAGAAATATATTGCAAGTTTGAGCTGTAGGCATTTTGCCATGCCAAGAACATTTTATCCTGTTATCATACCTAATTAAATATTAAAAGCAACTGTGTACTCAAAAATGTCCCCAGCTGTGGAGGGTAATTGATTGTTAATCTGTGTGTGGAAGGGTGGCAAGGGGAAAAGAAAATCTAACAAACCATGTAAATACATAGAGGAAGACCTGAAAAGCAAATCTGTTAGACATGGGAGAGGTAGTCACAGTGAATGTGAACATCCATGTGCAAATACAACTAGTCTTGGGAGTCAAGTGCTCTTTTCTAATATGTTTTCACATCTTTTATTATGCTTTTTGCCAATCTCCTAAACAAGCTGTTAACTGTGTGCTGCCACAGTTTAGGACTAGTGGAACAAGTTACATTTCACCTGTAGTCTGCAGGTGTGTGATGGCTGAAAGCACCTCTTGCAGCTGTGTGTCCTGGTGCATGCCATCACTCCTCCAGCTAACACAGCATAGGCCTGTGTATCAGCAATAAAG